TTACTTGCAATGTCGATTCTCCCTCGGTTCTCCCTCGTTATGTTTCTAAATTAATAAACCCATGAGAACTATAGTTGCGTCTAAAAAATGCATAAATGATTGGCTTTCCGACATGAATGATGAATGTTGGTACCCAAGTCATGAAAACTTGCATGTGAAACACAAATAAACTATAATAAGCGCCCCCCCCCCGTTATGTTTGTTGGTTTATAAACCCCATTAACTATTGTTATGCGGAACATAAACCAGAGTTACTGAAGTCATGTTCACCAATTTAGCTACCGTTTGGGGGCCCCACAATATAAAAAACAATTGTTAAGTAATGTGGGTAAAACAATGTAATAAACCATCCATGACTGGGAATGGTAACCATAAGTAAGCATACTTTGAGTGTGTTCCAGGGTCCCCGAAAAATATCAAGCCAACCCTGTTCCCCAGAGCTGCGACACAGCTTTTTGCCACGGAGTCGATCAAGATCGATTCTGGCCAAAGGTTCGAGGATCACCTGGCAGGTGTACGGTACAATGTTTCAGACTCTTGAGCGACTTGATCTTCAAAATGTCGAATTGATCTTCAAAGTATGGTCCGTCGAGATGCAATAATCATCAAAATATGTGAATTGCTGCAACTACAGACCAAGCTGTCCACTCCTTTTTTCGCCCCTGCACAGCGTGATGCCTCCCTACTTTGGACCTAGATGGACCGAGGACCATGGACCAATGTGAACCATGGACCGGTGGACCATGGACCAAAACCCTTTAAACACCGTTAACTACTGCCTGCTTCCAATGCCTCGAGATTGGCTCAGGAGCGCAGGCAGTCAAAATCACTTTGGCCCAGCGGTCCACACTCAAGCGGGCTGGAAAGCAAGTCTTGAAATTGTTCACTATAGCCTTTTCTGGTAGCCCGTTCCACACATTTGCTTGTAGTGTGTTGGCACCATTCAGCAACACCTTGCTGAGCGCTTGCACTCACTGGCTTAGTAAGCTTCATAAGCGGCTTCCCAGCTGCTCCACATGTCGACAGCAGGGGAAAGCAGCTTCTGCAATGTGCACAACTGGGCATTCTGGAGGTTGAACAATTCAGGCAGCCTGTGCCTGTGCAAAGCTGCCACGTATGCCTAAAATCTGGGCTGCTCAGCCACTTTTCTATGATGGCCCTTCAGGCCCAAAGCTTGACGCTGGGCAGACACAGAAATCTGAACCTCCGCCATGCCGAGGTCGCAAAGCTGAAGGAGCTGAATTTCTTCCAACCACAGGCAGTTGGACGGTTTGACATCGAGATGTAGAAGTGAAGCCCGTTGATGAAGGATACGCAAAGCAATTTCCAGCTGGTTGGCAACAACAACGTTCACCATGTCACCATGTCAGGGCTCAACTTTCCTGGTCCCAACCGGTTCGCCAAGCTTGGCCCACCAAGTGTCAATGCCACCCAAGGCCGTGGTTCGCCACAATGATCAGCATCAAGCAGCACAGGAAAGAACCTGTGCTCCTTCACACTCAGTTTCCCACCCGGGCATGGACGCCATTGAATATCTTCAGGGCACAGGGGCTACCATACCAGCATCTGCCAGCAAGCACTTGTCCATATGTGCCTTCACCCAGAACGGTGTCGACCTCATACTGCCCCCCCGAGTTTCACCATGGCACCAGCAGCTGGCTCAGGATCACTCAGCTGCGGCTGGATTTCCTTTTGCTTGGCAATAACGTTTCGCAAGGGGATCCCCATCTGCAACAAAGCAGCGCGTCGGGCCAGAAACTCAGCCTTGCTTTGGTCTTGGTGTGGTGCTTTTTCTGCATCCAAGAGGGAAGACCAAACTTGTCCGAGTCTTTTCATTTCAGCTGCAAACTCAAACTTGCAAGCTCCTGGCTTGACACAAGACCTCTCCTTCAAAAAGAGGGCAAAAGCTTTTCTCGCCTTTGGAACTAGGCCTTCCTGCGCAACCTTGCTCACTGCATTGCCTCCAGATCTTTTTCTTTGTGATTTTTCAGGTGTTTTGGTTTTCTTCCAGAGCCTTGTTGTTGGCACACCTTTGAGCCAACGGGCCATGGACGAGGGACTGCGGACCGTAAACCTGGAACCACTTGCAAGGGAGAGCGCTTGAGCCACAGTGTGCGGACACGAGAAAGAGATCAGTGGCTGCCAGAAACCCAGGCAAGAGTTTCATTGAAGCCTTCAATGCTGCAATCTGATATCATATATATCAAGTCACTCATACACAGCGCGGCTTACAGCCATGCATCCCACCAGCCTTCAAGTGGCAGTAGAAGGGAGGAGTGGGTGGCGGAAGGATCTTGCAGCTACTCCATCAGCCTGCACCCACTCTGGGAAGCGGCTGACCATGGTGGACCTGAAAACAGGGTTGAGAAAATGAGGCTGGCACAGTGTCATGCTGAGTCGGTGCCGCTGGCTACTTAAGCAAGTGCAGCATGTCATTTTCCCAAGCTGCCATGGTTTTGTCTAAAGGCAATGAAATAATCAAAACTAAAGCTGCCTACTGCGATGACAAATCAGCAGGGACAAGCCAGCACTGGCAAAATGACACATTGAAGCAATGAAAAGACCATGGACCATGGATTGCAAACCCTCAACGAACCAATCAAGCTGAGTGCGGCTTTTAGTGCTGGCTTTTGGAGGAGCAATCACCAAATCAGCCCTGGGTCTCGTCGTCAAGTGGGCTCCCTGGTTCCATGGGCTCTTCATCTTCGCAGTCTCCGCCTTGGTTCTTCACCAGGCTTTAAAGAATTTCGGGAAAGTATTTCTTTGCGTTTTTGGCACCGTCTTCGCTGAAACGCACCAAAGAGTCTGCAGTCTCCTCTAAGAGCGCTGCGCTGAAAGCTGCAATGCTTGTGGCAACTGCCGTGGGCCCACCGGTCGCAAGTTCGCGGCAGTCATGAATTGATTTGCGAACTTCAGGACGTCCTGGCAACATTGCCCAAGTTCCGGACCCTGGGCTTTCGGGGAAGGGCCATCCGCGCCAAGAAGGATCGTCCTCAATGAGCGGAGCCAAGGCGAAGGAAAAAAATATATACTGGCTACAGCCATGCCCCCACACATAACAGGCAGGGAAAACAAGTTGTTACAAGGAGAAAGCCGGGGCTCATAGAAACGCAGCTGGCAACCATGGGCGATGGGGTGACGAATGAAAGGATGCATGAGCAAGTGGAACTCTGTTTGCCGTCGAGCCTAAGCTCTGGCACAAATTGCTCGAGGAGCTCCTTCACACAGCACAGCACCTGGACATTGGGCAGCTCATCAATGCCACAAAAAAATGTAAAATTAAAGCAGGCCCTTTTTTGAGACAACCGCTTTGAAACGATCCAACCAAGCTGCTGAAGTCCAAATCTGCGGAATCTGCAAGTCCTCCGGCATCCAGGGGAAACCTGGCTGCAAACGCGCTCGCAATCCCAGCACATGCCCAAGCATGTTTTCCTTTCCCTTTGCTTGTCACAATTCTTTTTCCTTGGGGGAAAAGAACAACCAAGTGAAGAACAAGCAGATTCCACACAAGCGGCCGACATCATCTGTTGTTCGCACTCGCGTAGGATAAAAAAGGAGCGCATTGTGCTGAAGCCTGTTCCGGCCCATGTAAAATCTTTCGATGTCTCGCAGCGCGTGTTGAAGAACCATGGGGCGGTCTGCAAAGACCTGGGATGCGAAGTCAGGAGCTTCAAAGCAAACCCAAAAAATGGCCATGGTCAAGCACTCAAGGGGAAGATGGAAAGGTGTTGGCAAAAATCTGGAAAGCCATCAATGCTACGAAGCAAATACTGCTGGAGAACCACATCTGCACCCAAGCTGAGGATCGCAGGTCTGATCGTGACTCCTTTGGATGCCAGCAAGTCAGCCACATCTGCACCCTGATCCAGTCCCTGGGACGCTGCCGCCGTCTCAACGACTTCCTCAGCTGCCTGCTCCATTGATAAAATCGAACAATGGACTGTGGACCCTGGACGGTGGACCTGAGCCAACAACGATGCCCCAACTCCAAGGTGTTTGTGCAGATTCGCCCCCCCAAAAAAAGGTTCAACAAATACATACTTGAACCTTTTTTCCTCTTCAGGCATGTATGGGCCGAAACTGTGCTGAATCACCTTTGTCTTGATGTCATGTTTGCACATGATAGTGTTTCATCTCCGCCCGCAAGAATAGATAAACAATTCAAGAAGTTACGAAATATGAAGTTTGAAAGTGTTTAGCTGCTCCTTCATTCTGTTTTGTGGGTGGTCAAAACCTGGACCCTGTGGCACTTGGGCAATGACCGTGTTTTGGTCTGCGACCCGGTGAAGGCGGCAATGGAGATAACATACCTTGAGTTGCAGAGACTCTGAGGAGAGTGGCTGCTCCAAGCGGAGTGATTGTATATAACCAAATGGACAAGTATATGTTACATATATTACATGTTGTCTTCAAAAAAAGGGTTGAACGATGCCATTCACAGCGTGCTCTACCCAATCCACAAACCCCTGGAGCTGCGATGTTTCGGAGAACGCAGCCTGCAGGTACGAAGAGCTCGTAGCTCAGCTTGCAAGGAAGGATCACCTTCGGATATGCTTCAGAAAGATCTGAAAGTTGTCTGAAATATCTCAACCAACCGGTTCATGGCTGTGGCGGCCCTCCCCAAGAAATGATATCGGTTAGCTTTTGAAGTCTCCCGGGCTCTGGCCGCAACAGCAGAGGTCGAGCCTGGATCGATTTCAAAATAGGTGGCCATCCAAAGAAAGGCCAAACAGCTCAAGCTTGAAAAATGAAACAACATCAAAGTTGGGCCCCTGGCAATGAGCGCGAAGATGATGAAAGCCGGCTATACAGGACTACCTAGACCTTGGACCCTGCAATGGAAGGGTAAGACGAGTTGAAAACAGGAGAAAAAAAATGTCTGAAGCATGCACTTAGCATAAATAAACATAGATAAACTATAATCATTGGACTTATCTTCGCCAACTGTTCGCCACCGGGCCCTGGCCCTTCCCCGGGCCCCAAAAACCGAGGCTCTCCGTCTAAAGCATGAGAATCGACGCCAGGGCGACGGCAGCGCTGAGGCAGGAACCTGCTGCCTTGGTTTGGTAAAGGTGATACCTTCTGGAGATTTGACAGCTATGGTATAAATATGGTATAGATGGCCAAGCGTCATGATGTTTGATCATTTATGATCATTCATGAGAATATATGAGAGTTTATGATAGTTTATGATAATTTATAATAATTTATGATCATTTATGATCATTTATGATCATTTATGATCATTTATGATCATCTATGATAATCTATGATAATTTAACTAGATTTAACGGGTTGATTGTCCATAGCTGGTGCAAATAACCAGAGTGTAAAGTTGATTATCCAACTGCTATGGCACATATGTTGTAAATGTGTGCGGCAAATGTGGATATGTTTTGTTCTTGTTTCTATACATTATCGTCGCTATGATCATTCCTTCTACTTAGCTATAAGCATCGTAATATGGTCGAATAACTATACAGTAACTAGTATTATATCTATAAAATTATATATATATATATATAATGTATATATATGTATATATATATGTATATATATATGTATATATATACAGTACATGTATCTTTCCATCCTTCAAACACAAGTGTCCTGGCACCAGCCAGATTGTCCTAAAGAAACAAAACAATCTTGACCTTCATCATGTGTTGTAGGCTGTGGCTGAGATGTTTAAATCTGCATAAATACATATCATATCCATTATCTCTGGCATAACCATACCATAATGGTTTCATAAATCTTTCATAGTCCATTTTAAACGTTATCTGGGATATCTGTACTACGCATCCATTTTTGGTGGTTGTTACATTTTAAAAGTCTAACAACTTCAAGCGAGAAACATTTGGAGCCTTGGGGTTGATCGGGATGCATTTTGGCGGTAGATGGATGGACAGATAGTTAGATAGGTAGATAGATAAGTAGATGATAGATGGATGGATCGACGGACAAATAGATAGACAAAGATAGACAAAGATAGACAATATGTATATTATACAGATAGATGAAGAGCTTGATAGATCACTAGATGATAGATGGATAGATCACGAAGTCAGAAGAAACTGTTGCGTTCCTTGCAAACATTTTTTCCCAATATTCCCTCATTTCAATATCACGGGAACGGATTCATCAATCTTGTTTTGTTGTTCTAAGGCATCAAATATATATATACACATACATGTATATTTATTTACAGTATACACATACACATGCAAATACCCATACACGTACACATACATATACAGTCTACATATACTACATACACATATCTGGTTGGTGGTTTTAACCATCTTGAAACATTAGTCAGTTGGGGTGATTATTCCCAAAATATGGACAAATAAAAGTCATGTTTGAAACCACCAACCAGATTCATATTCATATATTTCATATATATATATATACCTTTACATGTACTCCAGCTCAAGTTAGTAATTCTAGCCATGACCCAAATGACCTGGTTGCCGCCGAGGAACAGCATTGGCTCCAGTAGGATGTTCAGTGCCTCCGGGACTTTCCCGGGATTTCCCCGGGATCAAAAAAAAATATGAAAACACCAGAGTTATCTTCCACCTGGAGGCACTGAATAGTGGAAAAATCATCCATCTTTGTAGTTGTTCATATTTTACACATCTTTATATGTTTTACCATAAAAAATATGGTTTATCTTCCAACTGTACTTTTTGTTTACCCCCTGGTAAACGTTTACAGTTTGCGAACTGGAAAATCACCATCTTTCAGTTCGGTAAATCAACGAACTAAATAGTCCATTTTCAATAGCTATGTAACAAATTACCAGAGGGTAACCTCATCCAAGACGTGGGACCTCCCAGTTCTTTGCAATATGAACTCCACCCTGAACTTGCAGGGAAGCCCCAAAAGAAAACTCGGACCCTTGTTTGCAGTTATGGCCATTCATTAGTCATAACTGGTTACAAATAAGATGAAAAAACACATTCCATAAATGGGGTTATAAGATGTTATAAATACTTATAAAGGGCCATAACTTCTGATACATTTCCCATCAAGTCTTGGTTTACTCGGCCGACTGTGATCTGGCGCGGCCCATATCCCAAATTCACAGAACCCAAATTACTTTTCCTGGGCCCAACTTGTCAAGAACTTCTATTGGAAGAACATCTGGGCATAGCCCCCCTTTATGAAGAGGGGTTCTAATATACACTTTCAAAGCACTACCAGCCAAAAAAAACACTCATGATCCTCTTCTTTTTTCCGATAGCCTCCAGCCAAATGTGGCCAACATCTACATGTTCCAGGGCTTGAAATCGGAGGATCGTCCCAGTTGAAACTGGTAGAGTTAGAAACCATTTATGGTACCCCTTTAGTCACCCCAAAATAGAAGCTGGTTGGTGGTATACCTACCCCTCTGAAAAATATGAGTTCGTCAGTTGGGTTTATTATTCCCAATATATTTTCAATATATGGAAAAATAGAAGTCATGTTCCAAACCACCAAATAGGAAGAACAGCAATTTACCACTACTATTACTATTTGACCGGAATGTTACACCACTTCTCTATTTCTAAAAGCTGCTGAAACATCTTCGACCGCCGTTGAGGCCTCCACTGGTGGTCTGTTCATCTGGCATGGTGCTCTCGGTGGTCGTCGTGGTCGTCGTCGTTGCCTCCGTGGTGCTCTCAGTGCTCTCCGTGGTGCTCTCCGTGGTGCTCTCCGCGGTGCTTGTGCTGGATGTTGAGGAGGTTTCTTCCACTTCCTGAGCCAGAAGCCGACATTCTTGGGAAAGAGGTACCAAAACACTCCAAGTACTTTTAAAGAAATGGTGAAAGCTTGCTTGAAAGTACTAAATTTAAGGGTTTACAAAAACAAAAACATTTTTTATGGGTCCATGGAGTGTCAAGGTGTTTGTATAGATAGAGTTCTGAAAATGTCAAAAATATTAAAGCCTGAAAAAAAACAACCATAATTTATGGTGAATAATATGGGTTAAACAAATTCATTTGAATCATATTTTAATGGTGAGTCCCTGGGTTTCCCTATCTGGGTTTCCCTATGCTTTACCCTTATTGGTGGGAAACGCTTGGCCGACATTTCAAGAAGGGCGCACAATGGCGACCCACATTTCGGAAAGGTCAAGATTTGAGCCGATCCGTGTATCCTCCCACAACCCTGCCTGGTTTACCAGGTTCTTAGGCTATTCTTAGGCTTTTGGGGCCTTGTGTGACGATCAAGAACTCTGTCACAAGATCAACAAGATCTTGTCCAATATTGTCCGTGTGAAATCAACATATGACTTTCACCTTGAAGATTGGACCTGCATTTTGTGTTGGTCAAAACCGTTCCTGGAAATGATATTGGTACAATGTGGGGCCCCCCAGTTATGTTTGTTGGTTTATGGACCCCATTAACTATTGTTATAAGTATCATTAAGTATCATAAACCATAGTTACTAGAGTTAATTGCACGAACTTAGCTATCATTTGGGCCCCCCCCACATTGGTAGTAAACCTTGAGTTCATCCTGCAATGCATGAGTCTGCAGCTCAACTGATGGACGTGCCCATCCGACATCAACTGGTGCTAAACGCAGGGAATGGATGGGACTGGGGGTTGCTGGGATGATGACATTACTAATGATGAAATGGATCATTCCCGAAAATTCCCTGCGTTTAGCACCAGTAAGTTTTTCTCTACAGTTTCAAGCCCACAAAAGTTTCAAGCATGACTCTTGGCAGTTTCAAGCCCACAAAATGGTGGTAACATGTCACTAGATGCAGGGACCCCATCATTGCAGGACAACTTGCAATGGAACCAATGCTGTATTGCTTCGAAGACCCACTTAATATCAGATCCATATCCCATCTCTGTTTATATCCAAACTGTTTTGATGGGCCAATATCAATACTCCTATCAAATTCATCAATCAATGGGTGCCAATGAACATTTGATGTTTATATCCATCAATGGGTTTTCATATTCTATCTTTGTTGCTCCAACCTAAAAAAAAAACACCCCGTGCCTGGTCCGCATAGGTCTCCGTGATGGTCTCTGACAACCTCCAGATGTGTGCGGTTTCACACCACAAAGGTAGCACGTGAAAAGTCCCTGGTTAGTGGGACAAGATGGAATCAGAGGAGATCCACTTGTGGAGATATAACCCACTTACCAAGTTCTGATAAGAAATCAAGTTTGTTGTATCTCAGTTTCAAGCCATATAGCCATATAGTCTATACACCCATGTCTGGCAAAGAATTGACCCATTACTTACGTGTCATAAATTCACCATGGCACACTTTTTCCAGCCAAGTAATCCCAAGAGTTTGAACATTTATGGCTTAGCCTGGTACCCTTATTTTATGATGGTTTGATGGTGGTTCAATGGTGGTTTACTGGCCATACAACGGGATTTAACGGGATTTAATGGGATTTAATGGGATTTAACGGGATTTAATGGGATTTATACAACGGGATTTAACGGGATTTAATGGGATTTATACAACGGGATTTAACGGAATTTAATGGGATTTAATGGGATTTATACAATGGGATTTAACGGGATTTAATGGGATTTAATGGGATTTATACAACGGGATTTAACGGGATTTAACGGGATTTAATTGGATTTATACAACGGGATTTAACGGGATTTAATGGGATTTAATGGGATTTAACGGGATTTAATGGGATTTATACAACGGGATTTAACGGGATTTAACGGGATTTAATGGGATTTAACGGGATTTAACGGGATTTAATGTGATTTAAAGGGATTTATACAACGGGATTTAACGGGATTTAACGGGATTTAATGGGATTTAATGGAATTATACAACGGGATTTAATTGGATTTATACAACGGGATTTAACGGGATTTAATGGGATTTATACAACGGGATTTAACGGGATTTAATGGGATTTATACAACGGGATTTAATGGGATTTAATGGGATTTAACGGGATTCAATATTTAATGGGATTTAATGGGATTTAATGGGACTTATACAACGGGATTTAATGGGATTTAATGGGATTCATACAACGGGATTTAACGGGATTTAGTGGGATTTAATGCAACGGGATTTAACGGGATTTAATGGGATTTAATGGGATGTGGTGGTTTTACTGTTCCCATCCCAAAATAAATGAGAACTCTGAGACAATGATCTAAACGAGACTGCAATCTTTGCCGGTCAGTTGGGAGTGTGAAAATACAAAGGGCCCATATAGTCATGTGGTCTTCTATCGCCACGTTTTTGGACTTCATTCCCCTCAAAACCAAAACTCAAGAACCTCCAATCGAAACCCTGATCTAAAATTGGATCCATTGATTTGGGGGGACCATGACTTCAGAACCCCCCAAATCCTCATAAATCCCACGAAAACTTCAGTAAGTCTAAATCACCATTAAAATCACCATTCAATGCCATTAAATCACAATAAAACCACCATTTGTCCCGTTAAATCCCATTCAACCACCATCAAACCACCATAAAATACAATTAAATCCCATTAAATAACCATTAAACCACAATCAAATCACAATTAAATCCCATTAAATCACAATTAAACCACCATTAATCCCATTAAATCCCATTAAGTCACCATCAAACCACTATAAAATCAAATTAAATCACCATCAAACCACCATTATATAATCTTATTAAATCCCATTAAACCACCATCAAACCACCATAAAATAACATTAAACCCCAGTAAATCACCATCAAACCACTATCAATCCCATTATATAAATCACATTAAATCACCATTAAATCACCATTAATTAATCCAGTTAAATCACCATAAAATTCCATTCAATCACATTTAATCACAATTAGATCCTAGTAAATCACCATAAAATCTAAATAAATCATCATAAAATCCCATAAGATCCAATCAACTCACCATAAAATCTCATTAAATCACCATACAATCACATTAAATCCCATTAAGTCACCATAAAAACCCATTAAATCCAGTTTAATCACCATGAAATACCATAAAATCAAATAAATCACCATTAAATCCCATTAGGTCACCATAAAATCCCATTAAAACACCATCAAACCACAATTAATCACATTAAATCCCATTAAATCGTCATGCAATACCATAAAATCATATTCAATCACAATTAAACCAGCAAAAAAAAACATTAAATAACAATTAAATCCGATTAAATCAATCGCCATAAAATTCCATTAAATCACCATTAAATGACCATTAAATCTCAAAAAAAACACTTAAATCACCATTAAACAACATTCAATCACCATAAAATCTCATTAAACTCCATTAAATCACAATAAAATCCCATTAGATCACAATTAAATGACCATTAAATCCCATTAAATCACCATTAAACCCCATTAAATCACCATAGAATCTCATTAACCTCCATTAAATCACCATAAAATCCCATTAGATCACCATTAAATGACCATTAAATCCCATTAAATCACCATTAAACCCCATCAAATCACCATAAAATCTCATTAACCTTCATTAAATCACCATAAAATCCCATTAGATCACCATTAAATCATGATAAAATTACATTAGATCACCATTAAATGACCCTTAAATCCCATTAAATCACCATTAAACCCCATTAAATGAACCATAAAATCTCATTAAACTCCATTAAGTCACCGTAAAATCCTATATTGAATTGGATGGTTAGCAGCTCAACATGAATCGGTCCGTTGCCCGCCGTCGCCCGCCTTCGCTCGCCAAGACGTCGCAGTCGTTCGATGGTGATTTCCGCGGTGGTCAAATCCTCTGAGATGTCATCCTCGCCGCAGTAAACAAAGAGTTGTGGTGTAACTGCTTTTTGAAAGTTATGATAGCCATGATAGTAAATAAGAATAGTAACCATTAGTTAAGGTTATAGCCATTTATGTAGTAACTGGTAAATAAGATTAAATACCATAAATGGAATATTGTAAGTATACTTCTAATTGTTTTTTCGGGCCATAACTGAAGAACGAGAACATATTTGATCGTTTTCTAGCAAAACACACATAACATATGGACCATTTGAATAGATTATTAGAAGAAAACAATGGATATGTTACTTACGTTTTATCAATTGATGTTGATGACTATAATGGAATATGACTTTATTATAAGTTAACATGATATTTGGGTGTGCCTGAAAATTGTGTATACAATGATAGGCACTCTGAAAATTGCTATGTTGGTAAGGAACACGATGAACAACCACTATATGAAACAATACGGTACCCTATTTTCAGACAAAATCACAAAGTTATAGCTCGGTGGACTTATTTAAAACAAATCTGTCTTGAGATGTTCATAGATGTCCCTAGTTTCAAACTAATTTGTGATTTACCAGTGTTTCTTTGACAATGATCAAAACACAAGTAGGATTCAAATCATTGGTGTCTATCATCATTTCCAGTTTCATGGCTCCACGACATGGTATCGTGTGGGGGACTCACCAGCCAATTTACAATTCTTAAATATTCTTAAATAGGAGATAATAAGTTGTTTCACCGTTGCAGTTTGTTGTTTTCCTCAACACATTGGGACACAGTCTCATGGAACATCATGAACAGGGTCTTCCTCTTCATTGTCAGTGGTGAAACAAACATCTTGGTAGGTGGTAGAAAATCCTGATGTTTCTAAAATATAGTTCTACTGTTCATATTATACCATATTATTATACCCACAAGTTATCGTATTATATGGGATTATAATATAGGTATAATAGGGTGTATATATATCTGGTATAATATTAAAATATAGTTCTACTTTTAATATAGGGATTTTAATATTATACCATATTAATCCATATATTACACCAATAATTATTATAAATCCCTGCTGAAGTGCCACTAGTCTTGCTATTGCCGTTCAAAGCTGAGTTCACCGACCGCCTCCTGTAGCAGCAGGGGTACAGTATGGTGTGTTTTGGTGTCATAATTTATAGTATTGTCATCCGTATTGGTTGTACAATAAGGATAGATACCAAGTATGTTTGTACATGTACATATATATATATACATATAATGACGAACAGTTGTCAGCTAGAGCGCTGATTCTCCCCACTCAAACCTCCATTTTAGCAGTGTTTTTTTTTTTTTTAATACTGATTGATAGAGAAATAGGGAATCCCCCAATCCTGCTGGTATCTTGTTATAGATTAATTCATGATTAGTTCCCCTTAATAATTAGAATCCCCAGTATATATATATATATAGTTAGTATAGATTGATTATTAACCAACCGGGCTTTAGCAGCCACTGCTGATGGAAATTCCGCGTCACACCGAGGTACAGACAGTTGCTGAGTCTCGTCGTCATCCATGTCCTGTGCCCACTTCAGCCACCGCCCAAGTCCAAAGTATTCGCAAAGCCAGGGACGATAAAAAATAAACAACTCGTATTTTATGGTTGAACAAGTTAAATATAAACTTGTATATATATATATACATACTATACATAGTATAATATATACAATAAAATAAAGTAAAATATCATAGGACATTAAAATATGACATATTTAACAAAACAAAAAATAATATAATATAAAATAGATATATGGTATAATATGATGTGACATAATATGATATGATATAGTATAATATAACACAATATGATACAATATAATATAATACAATACACTACAATACAGTAACACAATACAGTGATAACATATAATATAATATAATAAAATATAATATAAAACATGTGTTTGCATATTTGCAACCGCCAGCAAATAGTTCTAGCAGATACAGTTCAAGTTTTAATCAGTCAACATGTCAGGCTTTACGCACCTGGTGTAGTATGGCACCGAGAAGCCATGGCCAATGGCTGGTAAATCCCTCAAAATCCCAAAGTCTTGGTAAATCATGAAAACGCTGATACTGAAAATGGGGAACACAATCCTTTTGATACCTGAAAAAAAAGCCCGGCCACTTTGGGCTTCAAACACCCAGACTTCAACCAAATCAGCAGGATTTAAACATCAACACGAGCTCATAGATGCTCATCGATTACTATCTAACTTACGTGTAGCAGTGTTCAACAGCATCTGTTATTCCATTGGTCAAATATCAATCTCTCATAGCTATGTCGAAATACCATAGGGTATCATCCACTACAGGGCTTTGTTTGAAAAGGGGATACCCCCAAATCCAATGGTGTCTCATCATTTTAGGGTCTATGTTGCTTTAGAGGATGCTACCCTCCAGTAAACTGACATAGACCCTGCAAATAGCCAAGATTTAGTGGGAACTCATCTTCCAACTCCCTAATACCAGGCAGGGTTTTCCCATGGCTGGTTCATGGATTTCCCGGCCAGCCATGCTTGATGACATCTCGAACAGGGTATCATTTATTATAATTTATACAATGTGGGGCCATCTAAGTACCATAACTATGGTTATAACTACCATAAACCCTAGTTATTGTAGTTATAAACTAACTTAGCTATCTTGGGGGCCCCACATTGTACGGATATATTCCCATTTCATCCCATTATATCCAGATAAAACTTGGATTTAAAAAACAATCACCTATAGATTCCCCCTATTTGATTTCCCGAAAAAAAAAAATCAGCCCAGGTAAATCACCATATACCTGGGTGGGCAGTTCTACTATAATGGGTTATATTATGTATATATATATAACCATTGTAGGGATTCTATCCCAATTTAAGTTTGGATCCCATCGCTACACCCATTGCTTAAGTCCCTTAAGTCCCGGTCATCCCCGAACTTCACTCACCGCAGCTTCCCCACTCGCAGCCTCCGTGGAGACCTTGCAGAAGTAACGCGCTTTGCCAAAGGTCACCCGACATCTCCTTGGGGACCACGGCCGTATCCCGCGATACGAAAAGGTCCTTTTTTTTAAGGCCTAGCGGACGGGTGACCCTCCAAGTAGCCACTAAAAAAAGTAGCAAACGTACGAAAACGATGATGTAAAATAGCACTTTTTTGTATGACTTACAGTGAGAAGGCTTTAGGTCAATGTTTGTTTCAGATCTGGAATTTGTCGGATTTGTTTGAGGGACCCCAAAAAAATATGGCAAGCACATCATATTCCCTATCTGGTTGGTATACCTACCCCCCTGAAAAATATGCTCGTCAGATTGGATCATCATCCCAACTCTTGGGGAAGTCATAAAAGTCATGTTCCAAACCACCAACCAGTTGATGATCCCATAAAATCACCATAAAATCCCATAAAAAACAACCATAAAATTCCATAAAAAACACATTTGTTGCCTATTCAAATGGCAATAATTTTTAAGGTCTCCAGACATGGCTGTCAAAGGCACTGGATCTGCTGATCTGCCATAGATAGTCAAAAACCATCCCATTAATCCCATTAAAGGATGGATAATCCACTACATATAAAACATTATGGAAAAGATCATGGAATCATGGACCAACTATCAATTTATATTATATATATAGCCTCTGGTAAACTAACATAGCCATGGAAAGATCTACCATGTTTTAAAGGTAAACCATCTATATATTTCTATGGGCCATGGCTTCCATGGCAATGTTAAATAATCAAAGGGTTGGTGGTATACCTGCCCCTCTGAAAAAATGAGTTCGTCAGTTGGGATTTTTGACATTCCCATATATGAAATGGAGAATAATCCAAATGTGTGAAACCACCAATCAGTATACGTATATATAATTATATATATAACATATACATTAAAGGTATTGAAAGGTGCACTTAAAACAGAAAAAACTGTTCATTAACACCAGGGGCATATGGAACTCTATCCCAAATCCCTGTAGATTGGAGCTTCGAGAACTGGTACTACCATGTCAGCTTCAAACGTCACTACATATACCATCTGGTTATTTAACATAGCTACAGAAAATCACCATTTGTAATGGGTAAACCATCTATTTCTATGGGCCATTTCTATAAATGGGCCATCCATACCATGGCTATGTTAAATAACCAGAGGGTACTACCTAGTAACAATGGCATGGAATTGGGACCAATTTCTACCTAAACATCACCATTTTTTCATGTGGTGCCAGAACTTGTTGACCCTTTTGACCCCAATGCCGACTTGGTCAACATCTGAAAACCCCGTAAGTCATCTCCAAGGGTTCAATGGCTTCATCCATCGTGTTTTTCGGGAATGATCCACTGGCGAACTATCAATCATCATCCCAGCAACCCCCAGCAACCCCCAGCAACCCATCCATTCCCTGCTAAGTAAGCACCAGGAAGTTTTCATCGCTTCATCATGACAAACCCACATCAGTGTTGTTCTCAGATAAGGTTCTAATTGGTGGTATACCTACCCCTCTGAAAAATATGAAAGTCAGTTGGGATTCTTCCCAAGATATGGAAAGTCATAAAAGTCATGTTCCAAACCACCAACCAGAGTTTCTTGTCAGTGATGTCCCTGGGCCTATCAGAACCTGCGCCAAGCTTGTCGGGGGAGACATGATTCAAAACGATCCATGATTGATCAATGATGCTAAACATTACCCTCTGGTAAACTAACATAACTATGGAAGATCACCATTTTTAATGGGTAAATCCACTATAAATGGCCATGTTCAATAGCAAACTGTTAGTTTACCAGAGGGTACCAAACTATCAAAACCACCAAAATTTGGGGTACCCGATTTGTCTCAAACCCCACATGTCGTTGAAGAATGCGGTACAACCTTAGTCGTACTGTTCATGGAACTCTGGTGTAAGCTGCTGGATCTGAATCATGAATAATGTGGGTAAAACCATGCCATAAACCACCCATGACTGGGAATGCTAAAATACCACCTATAAACATGGTGATTTGATGGTTTATGATTGTTTTACCCACATTACTCACAATTCTCAATGCATCTTCCACAATTGTCACTGATTGTCAACACGCATCTTCGATTTTTTGAGGGCTACGGCTAAAATCAAAGACTGAATGATCGAGCCTGATTTAGCCTTAAAATTGTCCAAGTCCAATCATTGAGTATCATCTTACAAGGTGGTGGTTTCCCCCACTTATAAGTTGATTGATCATCCCACTAACCATAGATACAACTACCAATCCGGGACCAGAAGCCCACTTATGACTACGGTTAGTTATAAGTTAGTATATAAACCCATTAAGTAAAGATATATCTACCATAAGGCCTAGTGAAATCAGAGTTATGTGGCCCCCAACTTACCCTCTGGTAATTTGTTACAGTTTGCTATTGAACATGGCCATAGAAATCATAGAAATAGTAGATTTACATGGATGTACCCATTGAAAATGGTGATGTTCCATAGCAAACTGTAACAAATTACCAGAGGGTGTATACTATTATTAACCATCATTAACCATATAATAACTGCAAATATTAACTATTATTAACACTGGTTGGTGGTATACCTACCCCCTGAAACATATTAGTCAGATTGGATCATCATCCCAACTATTGGGGAAGTCATAAAAAATGTTCCAAACCACCAACCAGAACAGTATATTAACCACATCTTCACGGGTTCTGTGACACTTTACCAGGCCGGGATCCAGAAAAATAACACCACCGTTCCCACCTGGAACGGTGAAATTCCTGGCGACGCCCATCACCTCAAGAGAGAGCGACGGAGCGACTGCCAGTGGTGGGCGGCCTGTAAAAAATGGATATGGATTGAACTGTGTTAATATATGTTAATATGGATTAATATGGATTAATAAGGTTAATATGAGTTAATATGGATTAATATGGATTAATATATCTTAATATATCTTGATATATCTTAATATATGGATTAATATATCTTGATAGAACTTGATATATCTTAATATATGGATTTAAAAATATTGATATAACTTGATATATCTTAAATATGGATTAATATATGTTACCCTCTGGTTATTTAACATAGCCATGGAAAATCACCAGTTTTAATAGCTAAACCCAGGTAAACCATCTATTTCTATGGGCCATTTTCCATGGTTATGTTAAATAACCAGAGGGTAATATGGATTAATATGGATTAATATATCTTAATATATCTTGAAATATCTTAATATATGGATTAATATATGTTACCCTCTGGTTATTTAACATAGCCATGGAAAATCACCAGTTTTAATAGCTAAACCCAGGTAAACCATATGTTTCTATGGGCCATTTTCCATGGCTATGTTAAATAACCAGAGGGTAATATGGATTAATATGGATTAATATATCTTAATATATATATATATATATCTTGAAATATCTTAATATATGGATTAATATATGTTACCCTCTGGTTATTTAACATAGCCATGGAAAATCACCAGTTTTAATAGCTAAACCCAGGTAAACCATATGTTTCTATGGGCCATTTTCCATGGCTATGTTAAATAACCAGAGGGTAATATGGATTAATATGGATTAATACGGATTAATATATCTTAATATGGATTAAGATGGATTAAAATGGGAGACCAATGATACGCATGATGATTTTTACGGAAAGAACCAGACTTTTCTTGTGGCAATCGGATTGCATTGATTTGTTTTTCCATCCCGCCCCACATGAAACACCGCTTCGCTGCGCGGGTCTAGTATTGGATTTCTCATGGGGGTTCATATAATGGTAATGTGGTTCAAACAATAATAAACAATCCCCATAATCACCATAAATAGGTTATATAAACCATTCCCAAATGCGTGGTTTATGACATTGTTTTACCCACATTATATTAAATCATGGGGATTGGATTAGCTACACTGTTCCATGGATAAGATTCAATCGAACATGTGGTGGAACATATGGCCTAAGTTTGGACGGTTCCCAGGGCCCTGTTGTTTTGTGTGGGAAGACAAGCTGTCTTTGCTTTCAAGTCAGCGCGTGCTAAAACAGCAAGGTACATCTATCTGGCTATCTATCCTAATCATCCTAATCTAATCAAATCAAATGTAATCTAACTCTATCTAATCAAAACTAATCTAATCTACCTCAATCTGTCCAATCTAAACTAATCTAGTCTAATCTAATCGAACCAAGTCTAGTACAATAGATCTAATAATCTAATCTATCGAATATATAATCTATCCAATCTATTCTTATCGTATCTCGTCTTACCTTATCTTATCTTACCGTTTATATATAATTATATATATATATATGCCTCTCTATCGATTTACTTATCTATATGTATGACTTTCATTTGCGAGTGGTGGAATCATTAATTGTTGATTGTTAACACAGTAGTTTTATATTTCATGCAGGCAGGGACAACAAACTACAGGACGTTTAGGAAAGAAAAAACAATGGTGGTTGCCACCTTAGAATCGGATGCGTCAGAGCCGTTCAAAAGATTGTAGTTTCTAATTCGACAAAGGATTCGAACAGGAGTAGATGCGAATGTACAATGAGACAAGATACAAATGCTGTAAATGTGTGTGTGTGAGACATTACACATGTGCGAAATATATGTGCATATATTATATGGTTTGTAAGTGCAGTATCTAGAATCTAGATTCTGAATACCACGATGGTATCACTCAAGAAGGCTTCCTGCAGTGCTAAGCCACGCGATCGATGATGCGGTCCAGGAATGCATCCTTGGTCGTGGTTCTTTTCGGCCCTGCTAAACACCTGAACATTTTCAGAATTCGGAACAGCCATTGGTTGGTGAGAAATCGTCCTCTTTTCAAAATATGCTGTTCCGTCACGAAAAATCTTGGATTTTAATTATATTATATTAGTAATGATATCCCCATATAGTAGTCTATAGTAATCATTGGTTGATGATTACTAATTCTAGCCCAGAAATGGGATCGAAAAATGATCGAGAAATGGGCTCCTATCCTCCCCCAGTTGTAGTTCAGCTCTCCCATTTCTGGACGGTCCCAAACATTGACCTCATTTAAATGGATCAAAAAGCATCAGCCCAGCAAAGTACACGTGACTTGACCAGGGGGGAAAGTGTTGCGAATCATCGATGTACTGACATTTAATCACCATAAACACCTACAGTTATGGCCATTTATTAGTTATAGCTGTTTTACTGTTTTTTTTACACATTCCATTAATGGGGTTTTGTCAGTACTTATAACTGGTAGTTCGGGCCATAACTGTACGTAAATCGACTGAAAAACCCAATGGGGCACCCAATGTCTTGATCAACACGCGAACCACGATGCCAGTGCTAACAGTGAAGGTTAATAGGGGTCCAATACTAAGCTTGCGATGATCTGGGTGTGTCAGAAAATGGGGATTTAACATAGGGAGTCTTCATAGGGAAAGTTCTGACTACTCTCTGGCTATTTAACATAGCTGTGGAAAATCACCGTTTTTAAGCGGTAAATCATCATCTCTATAAATGTGCCATCTATACATGAATCATAGCTATATTATGACATTACCAAAGGATAAATAAAATCTTGGGTTACCATATTTTCAAACAAACCCATCCTGGCGCGTCTCCTCCAAATATTCGGCCCACTTCCCATGGATTTCATACGAGCAGAAATATGAATCCCGAGGGTGTCAAACTTCAAGTTTTTTGAGCTCACATGGAATGAACCTTGTATTGGTTTTAGGTCATGTGTTTAGGTGGGCTACCCTCTGGTAATTCAACAGTTTGCTATTGAAAATGGTCATAGCTAGTTAGTTGTTTCACCAATTCAAAATGGTGATTTGTTTCCATACCAAGCTGTTAGTTTACTAGATAGTGAATCCCATTAAATCCCAAAAAAAACATCACCATAAAATCAAATTAAATCCCATTAAAATCACCATAAAATCCCATAAAGTCCCGATCCCATTAAATCTCATAAAATCCAATTAAATCCTTTTAAATCCCTTGAAATCACATTAAATCCCATTAAATCACCATATAAGGTCACCATAAAATCACCCAATGAACGCCATGCAGCGGAGCAGGTGGCCGCGCTGGAAATGGCTTCCACCAGCACTTGCCTCAACTTGCCTTGTGCGAAACAAGGGACCCCTCTGGTTTCAACGTGGCTGGAAAATTCCTATGGCGGGGTTTAGTGTGTATGTATATATATATATATATAATTACCCTCTGGTTATCTAACATAGCCATGGAAAATGACCCATTTATAGATGGTTTACCTATTACAAATGGTGATTTTCCATGGCTATGTTAAATAACCAGATGGTATATAAATGGATCACCCAGTTTGCGGTGGAAGAACTGAAATACTTGTCCATGAGAAAATCATCAACCCAGATTGGGATGGTTGCCCTTCGAACCTCACAAATCCATCTTCGAAGCTACAGCAATTTCTTAAAGCCTTGGTTTTCCCTATTGAAAAGGACCAAATTCGAATGATGTTTCCACACCAGGATATGGGATTAGCATCCGTCGCACTCACATTTGATCAGCGATCCTTCCCACCTTCTGGCGATTCAGAAACTGTGAATGGTGCAGGATATTGATCGAACCTAGCTAGTCTTTTAAATATGTTAAATCTTCATACTCACACCACTGAGCCTGATATGATCATTGTCCAGGTAATAAATCCACACTCTACATCCTAACATCCCAGGTTTAATGGGTGACAATTCAATTGATCGCTGCTAAAGAGGCAGCCCATGGTGGGTCAGGGATTCCCAGCTAACATGGTGACATGAAAAAAGTAACCAAAGCAACTAAAGCAACTAGCAAACACATATCATATTGTTGGTATTTGTCAAAAAAAATCCTGTTGCATTCCATTCCCCAGTGTATCGCTAATAATTATCAACCAACCAGGGCTTTTGAAACTGCTCAGCTGTAGAAAAACCGCAGACCACCATGGAATTCCAACCTGCTGCAACGACACCAGCATGTGGATCTAGAGAGGAACACAACGATCTAATGTGATTTTGCTGGTTAATACTGGTTAAGAATGACAATTCATGGTGACTGTGTTTGGTTCATAATGATAATTATTGGAGACGGTGGATCCTATTTCTGTACTAACATCAATGGAAAAATGATCTGCAAAAACATCCATGGCCTATCTGAATTAATTACACACTGGTAAACTAACATAACTATGGAAAATGGCAATTTTTAATGGGTAAATCAACTATAAATGGCCATTTTCAATAGCTATGTTAGCTTACCAGAGGGTAATGATTTGAAGAAAACAGCGATATTTTCTGGTGGAGGCATTCCAGCCAAAACTGGTTAGTTGTTGAGCCACCCATCAAAGCAAAGACTCGATCGGGATCGTTCCCTGTGGTCCTAGCAATATGTCCGTCCCTATATGTATACTTATTTGTACACTAAAAAAAACCTACATGTATGCATCTCTATATGTATAATTGAAGGTATACTCATGTAGATACATATATATAACTATATATGTACATATAGGTACATATATAGTTATATTTATGCATGTATATATATATATATATAGATAGGACACCAATGTGACACCAACTTTTATATATATACATATATTATACATCTCAATATTATATATATATATATAAATTATCAAACATATACCATGCACATATCGTACCCACATATATATATATATGCAAAAAAAACAAAACATAATAATATGCATAACATACAAAACATTGTTATGTAATATATATATATATAAATATTAAAATATAACAAAAACAAAAAATCATAACAATCAACAAACTAGTACTACTAATAGTACAAACAATACTGGTTAGAATACTGGCAATGAACCTAGCAATACCAACACAATAGATGTATATTATATAACAATAATACCAGCTATACTACCCTCTGCTAATATCACATAGCTCTCGAAAATACCGTCAGCAAATTTAACAGGTAATAAATCATCTATAAATGGGCCATCTATACCATGGCATACCATGGCCATGTAGCAGGCCATGTAGGGATGTTTTCCCACAAACTAAAACATAGAACAGCGGCCCCAGGAATAAAGGAACCCTGGGCAATCTTTTGTTATCTATACTAATACACTATATATATTGTAATTATAAATATAAATATATGATAGTATATATACATGGAGATTTCCTAAGTCATGGCGATACCCGCAAATCATCCAAGTCATTCGACCATCCAAACCATGACACCCCCAAATGGACCATTAACCATCCAGAAAAAAAACAATTGAATATGGCGATTAAGCATTAAATCATTGGATATTCATTCATGGATATTAAAAACCATTATTAAGCATTGATTAATATTTAGTATCCAACGGTTAAACCATATAACTATTATCCATGGTAAATATTTGATATACAATCCACACATATGGTTTAGTTTAACCAAATATTTATATATTTACCATGTGGATTGTAGCTGAATGAACCAGCTACTAGCTAAAAAGCTAGTGCCTCCGATCCACCCTAGGCTTGGCCAAGTGTCGGATCAAGATTTCGCCTCAGATCGGCGATCGATGTTTGGTCGAAGCCGGTTGGAAAAGGGGTTTGGTTGACACGCATAGCCGCATAGTATGAGATTCAAACCTACTTAATCACGGATGAATTATTCTATACTATTATATACATATATATATATATATCAGATTAATCTACATTAAAATATATAATTTTTAATCATACAATACCATATACTTCAGAATTCGCTAAAGTAATATGTATATATATAAATATATAAATATATATATATGGAGGTTACCTAAAATGGTGGTACCCCTAAATCATCCATTTATAGACAGATTTCCATTTTTTCCAGCATCCACTGGGGAACCTTCATGTAAACCACCCAGCCCAGGCAGCCCAGGCAGCCCAGGCACGTCCCTCCGTCAAGGCTTCACCCAGCGCTTGAACCTTGGCCTGAATTTCCTCAGTGTGCCAGGTGATGTCCCAATCATTTACATATATGGCAGTGTGTCAAAACCTTGTACCCCTGTAGTTCACATCAAAATAGCTGGTAAATGGATGTTCATCCCATTAGAATTGATAATAATAGGTATTGATCCATACCCATATGATTATACCACTATTTGGCATCCAATTGAATTTATAACTGGGGGGGCACCACCTTGTATGGTTTATGATACTTATAGCAAAACAGTAATTTGCGTAATTTGCTAGTGATGGCCGGAAATACCAGTTATAAGTATAAACCAAAAACAATTTATGGAATGTGTTTGATCTTATAAAAAATAACCTGTTATAACTAATAGCCATGACCAAAACATACCAAACCCGTAGGGGGTCGGCGGTGCTTGTTAGGGCAAGCCGCGGGGAATGTTGCTCCACGAAAAATCGTGGATCCCAACGACCATGGGACCCAAATTCTGGGGATGACTGGGGGTTTCCCTAAATGGGGGATCCCTTTTTGCTGGTTTATTTCATGGAAAATCCATCTATAAAAATGGATGATTTAAAACTTACTTTCTGGTAAACATACAAAAAAAACTATGGAAAATTATGTTTTCAATGGGTAAATCAACTGAGCGGTGTTCAAAACTTCAATTAAAACTGAATGGAAATTATTCATCCTTGCGCGAAATCCTTGCGCCATCCTTGCGCGACCACAATGGGAGCTTGCGCGCGGTCAATTTTTTAAACGGAGCTTGCGCGACGCGCGAAGATGAAATCCTGAGTTTCCGTGCACTTTTGCTTGCGCGATGTAGGCGCGAAGCTGTTTTCGGACTTGGTTTTCTTGGCTTCTCAGATTCTCGGCTTGCGTGATTTCGGGCTTGCGCGAAGCTTGCGCGTGCATGAGCTTGCGCGAAGCTTGTGAAAAGCTTGCGCGCGTGTGACGCCATTCAAGTTTTGGAAGAATAAATTCCACCGAATACTAAAATCAATTGCCGAGAGTTTTGAACGCGGCTCAACTATGAATGGCCATGTTCAATAGCAATGTTTGTTTACCAGGGGGTATATTTATATACACACATACAAACACCATCGGATTGTAAGTATACCAGAAGCAATGCCATATCACCATTTGATTTGAAACTAGCAATTGGCTTTTTGAAACTGTGTTTTTTTGTATGTATATAAATAGCTATAGGCTTCTCCAACGCCTTAGAACTTTGGACAGCAAGCATTTGGTACGGGGTACAGAGAGTAAACTCATGCTGACATCCCTGTCATGTCCTGGGGTGTGGGGCGGCCAATAACGTCGATCAACGACATACTCACACTTTGCTTCTTCGAAGTACGAGACTTGCAATTGATGTCTTAGAAGGGAACATGACAGCAGCGGATGACATGATGAGCAGTTGATGATGCCAACATTTTGAGACAAATTTTCGTCACGATAAACACACAGCAACAGGTGAGGGCATCGATACTTCCAAGAGGTCAGACTACGCTAGATATTCATGATTGTTCATGTATTGTCAGCCAATATATATATATATATACATATATATATATATACATACATATATATATATATATATAACTCATTATAACGCCAAACCTCATGATATCCTAGTAAATCTCCATATTGCTGGTTAATTTCCTCACAGTATCATCATGATACTGGGTTGCCTATCTCCCCGCTGTTAATTCTTTACAACCGGCTATTCTCCAATTTCCAATGATATCAACGCCCCAAACGATAGCTAAGTTGGATTATTTCAGTATAGGTGAACCGGTAGATATGGTAGGATATAACGATCTGGTTCATTGGGGTTATTTCCCATCCCCCTAATATTTACCCCCTGCTTATTTAACATAGCCATGGAAAATGGCCCATTTATGGTGATTTTCCATGGTTATGTTAAATAACCAGAGGGTATCAACACACCCAAAACGGATCCAAAATGGATCAGTACACCCTCTACGATGGGATTAGAAGTCCTTTTCGTCCTGGTTAGTTGATGGCGTGTTTCCCTTGTTTCATCCCTGCCAAGTATAGCATGTTCGGTTTCGATCCACCAGATAGCGTATATTAATAGTGGCTTTGGGTATGTCCCCTCATCATAACCCCATCAATCACAACATATACAACAATACCATTAAATCCATGTATATCCCTTTTTGAATCCCTTATTGTATCTCCATTAACGATTGATTATGGCTGTCATCAGAATTACTTACCAAGAATCGTTCATAATAATCATCCAAATTTATATCCCATTAAAGAACTATTGCATCCCTCATTGTGTCCCCATTAACCACTATTATTATATCAGCCATGATCACTGAATAGGCAGAATTATATCAGTCCATTATATACCTTTATACTTGCCAACTGGTACTGGGGGCATCGCCAACTTATAATACTAATGGCAATTTTCATTAACTTTGGGACTTACGACCACCAGGGTTATAAACTGATTGAACCATAATATTAATATAAACCATTGGATATTAACCATTGATTTTTGTTTAGCCATATATAAACCAGTTTATGGATAATCCATAGCTATGATACCAGTATGTATATATATATATATGTTCATTAAAAACACTAATGCCCAATAATGTTCATTAATTATACTAATAATCCAAGATACTATCTAAAATGATATCCAATAATGTTGATTAATAATCTACATAGATATACGATATATGTATATATATATATATAGACATATGATAGAGCTCCAATATAATATCCCCAAAAAATAGACAATATATAGATCCATTCTGATCCAATATAATATCCAAAATCCAGTATATGGAGGTTTCCTGAAATGGGGGCACCCCCAAATCATCCATGTTTGTAGGATTTTGCATCGTTAATTAGCCATAGATGTAACTACCACAAGTCCTAGATATTAGAGATTATAAAGCAACTTGGCTATCTTGGGGGCATCACATTGTAATATCCATTATTGTATGGTTTGAGGGTTTCTGATCCCCAATGGCTGGATGGTTTGTAATGGAACATTTGAGAAAAAATGATGATTTGGGGGCACCCGCATTTGAGGAAACCCATATATATATATATGATATTTCACTAACATGAATTAAGGTCATTTGGGGATGATTCCTCTTATTAAACATGATTCCAGTGAGGGAGAACAGTGAAGTCGTTATAATTTACCCAGATATACATATATATATATATACATAGTTATATATATATATACCCAGTACAATATATATATATATAATACCCCCAAAAAAATAGATAATATATAGATCCAAGCTTCGTCGCTCCAGATCTCTGTGGAGCCACTGAGCTCCTCCAGTGTCGACTTGGCCTCCTCGATGCACGTGTCGTCCACCTGGCACGGCGCCACGGCGGCACTTTTGCCATGGGAGAAATGGCTGGTTTCACCATGGAAAACCCTGGAAAACCATAGAAAACCCTGGAAAAAACAATGATTTATAAACTTATAAACATGTTTTAACATATTTTAAGATATTTCAACAGTACAAGAAGCGGTGGTTTTAGGATGGAAGACATGATTTAAACATATTTTAACCGTACAACAAAAACGGTGGTTTTACCATGGTTTCACCATGTTTCACCATACATGGTGATGGTTTTTTACCTGAAATAACTTTTGGGTTTTGGTGGTTTTACTTTGGAACATGTTGGGATAAAGAATTGTGAGGTTTTGGTTACGCAAACACCAAGATTTAAGCAAGAAACAGTGTGGAGGGGGGAATTTTTTCTGATTCGCCAACAACATCCAACAACTTAAATGTGATTTCAGCAAATCAGAACAAAGAAAACAAGGGATTTACTTTAACCAAGGAATCACCTTGGTGAACAATGGGTGAGCATGAGATTCGCTGAAGGGCTTGCTGTGGGTTTGCAAAAGAGTTTTTACAGCAACAGGCTGGTTCTCTACTTGGTTTAACAGCTAATTCTGATGACCTTCCGATTGACCTTAAGTATCCATACTGTCGATATTGATCCAAAGTCATGGTGATCATTCAAACAAGCCGATGACCGGATTACCGGTTATTTTTCAGCATTCCTGGGATGAAAACTCACCTGAAACACGGAAAGCTCGTTTTGCTTTTGGGTTCCGAGACGAGCCATCAAAGAAAATGCGATGTCGTTTCTGCTTGTGAACTGTTTAAGGTCCCAACGGTGGATGACTCGGAGTGAGATATATTAGAGAAATATGTTTATCTTTATTAGCGAACCAAATTTCATAGATGGAAAAGGTGAAACCTGGAAATTCTTCAGCCAACATCAGCCATGAAATCTGGCAAACAAAAATTGAACTATGATCTACTCGTTTAAAACAACATATAACCGTCTTAAACAATCCATGACGACCCTATAGAGCCTGGTACCATAAAAACCTGCGTTCAACAAATCTAGACATCCCAACAATGAAAATGGCCCATTTATAGATGATTTACCTTTGAAAAAATGTAATGTTCCATAGTTATGTCAGTTTACCAGAGTGTATGTGATGTCAATAACACCATTGACAATCCAGTTTCAGTTTCGGTTTAATCACTGATGTTACTTGATATCTGCTGTTGACTCACAGCCATCTCCTAACTAATCGATCAAAACCCATTCTTCTTGTATGGTGCGGCACGTAACTCTGCCAAGTTGCACCATCGACGGTTGATTCCTCCTGACCTTTGCGACACGGGGCCAAAACAAAACTTATTTTGAAATACGTTTTTGATCTCGCTCTCAATACTTTCATAATTCACCAAGCTGAAACAAACTGATTTCCAAATAAATCACAACATCCGCAAAATCATTTGTACAGTTATAGCCCTTCAATGCCCTTTACCAATTATAAGTACTTATAACCCCATGTAATTATGGAACTATAACAGTCATAACTAATGCCATGGCCACAACTGTACTGTGTAATACGATAGCAACATGAAATTTAAATGTTTGCTTTGCAAAAATATGATTGAATCATTACCCTCTGGTAATTTAACATAGCTATTGAAAATGATCATTTATAGTGGATTTTCCCATTAAAAATGGTGATTTTCCATAGTTATGTCATGTTAGTTTACCAGAGGGTAACAACTCAGCGTTTTTGTCGCCGAACATCGTAGAAAGCAATGGATCATTCGTTTGGTGCCCAAGCCTACCCCCAACAACTTTCGTTGATTTCTTGCTTGCGTCATTGCTAGTTTCAGAGTTTGTTTGCGTTTCCTTTCCCATAGATATCCCAGTTGGTATTTTAAGCAATTTTACAAATGGATGCAAATCGAACTATGATCGATATGTGAGATTCTAATAGATTCTATAGTTATATGAGTGAACATGGATCCTTCTCTAGTCATTAAAGGGGTCGATGAAAACATCAAGATATTTTGTTCCCTTGTTGTGCTTTTTTTTTCTCTCTCTCTCTCTCTGTCGAAAATGGTTGGCAGAAAGAATCTACAGATTCTCAGGGCAGCAGCAAATTGCAGAATGAAGGCAAAACCCGACCTGCAAACACCGTGCAAAAACACTTCGCACGGGCTGCGCATTCCACCAGATCACTTTGACATCTGGATTTCCGGGTCGACTTGCCACACCATGACATTCCATGACATTCCCATGGATAATTTGGGGTGCCAATGACTTGGGACACCAGGGAATGACTACACTACAATTGAGACAATCCCATATCTATTGGGAGTCTAATTGGTAGTACTCAGTATACCGAAAAAAATCCCGTCTGTTGTACGAATACTCCCAGTTCTAGTATGCACCATTATTTCTTTAAAACACCACTTGCACAATCAGCAACCAACAGTTCATCTCCACATAAACCAACAAAAATAACTGGGAACTGGAAAAAGGTCCGGAATTTCACTGTACATGTATCCACCATAAATCCGACATTTATGTCAATGTTGATCAACTTACGTATGATACATCATCCAAACAGATTTCGTTATATATATATACAGCATATGAACTCAATTGCATTGAAACATAGAAGTAACATGTATATATGATTATATATGAATCTCATTGTAAATGGTGGTTCATTAACATATATATATATATATATTAACCATTGATAAACCCGGTAAAGTCCCTATGTTTCTTCTTACCTCCCCCTATGAAAATCCACCTTCCCATGGCCCCGAGCAGATCCCAGGCGCATTCCGCGAAGGCCTCTGCCGCCTCTTTGAGATCCGCCAACTTCTTGACGACGCCGAAGGCGCGGCGCCTTCGGACGTCGAGCCCGTCGAGTGGTTTCACAGCGCCAGGTGGTGGGGAAAACCCCAGTTGATGATGGTTGGTGGTATACATATGGTTAATATATGGTTAATATATGGTTATATAATACCTGGTTAATATATGGTTAATATATGGGTAATATATGGTTAATATATGGATAATACCTGGTTAATATATGGTTAATATACGGGTAATATATGGTTAATATATACTTAATTTATGGTTATTATATGGTTAATATGTGGTTATTATATGGTTGATATATGGTTAATTTATTGTTAGCATACGGTTAATATATGGTTAATATATGGATAGTATATGCTTAATTTATGGTTAATATATGGTTAATATATGTTTAATATATGCTTTATTTATGGTTAATATATGGTTAATATGTGGTTAATATATGGTTGATATATGGTTAATATATGGTTAATATATGGTTAACATATGGTTAATATATGGGTAATATGTGGTTATTATATGGTTAATATATGGATAATATATGCTTAATTTATGGTTATTATATGGTTAATATATGCTTAATTTATGGTTATTATATGGTTAATATGCGGTTAATATATGGTTGATATATGGTTAATATATGGTTAATATATGCTTAATTTATGGTTATTATATGGTTAATATATGGTTAATATATGGATAATATATGGTTAATATATGGTTAATATGTGGTTAATATATGGTTGATATATGGTTAATATATGGTTAATATATGGTTAACATATGGTTAATATATGGTTAATATATGCTTAATTTATGGTTATTATATGGTTAATATATGGTTAATATATGGATAATATATGGTTTAAATATGGTTACAGTAATATATGGTTAATATATGGTTAATATATGCTTAATTTATGGTTATTATATGGTTAATATGTGGTTATTATATGGTTGATATATGGTTAATTTATTGTTAACATATGGTTAATATATGGTTAATATATAGTTAATATATGGTTAATATATGGTCAATATATAGTTAAATAATATATGCTTAATATATAGTTAAATAATATATGCTTAATATATGGTTAATATATATGGTTAATATGTGGTTAGTATATGGTTGATATATGGTTAATATATGGGTAATATATGGTTAATATATGGTTAATATATTGTTAATAGGTTAATATATGTTTGTTGGTGGTATCAATGGGGATATGTCATGGGAATATCCAATATATGTGGTCCAATATATCTGGTTGGTGGTTGAGCCTACCCCTCTGAAAAATATGAAAGTCAGTTGGGATGATGACATTCCCTATATATGGAAAAATAAGAGATTTATGTTCCAAACCACCAACCTGTTATGTTTGTTGCTTGACACTCGCATTATAGCCATGGATATAACATGATATAACGACCACAAGTCCTAGTGAAATTAGAGATTATAAAGCAACTTGGCTATCTTGGGGGCATCACCTTCTATGTATTATAATCAATGGTTAATGGTTGGTTAATATATAGTTATTGTATGGTTTGAGGGTTTCAATAAATGGGGGAACCCCAATAGCTGGATGGTTTGCAATGGAAAAATCAAGAAAATGATGATTTGGGGGTACCCCATTTTAGGAAACCCATATATATATATAGAGTATATAAAAATAAGTATTCCACAAACAGTGTGGCCACACTTGGGGTTCTTACGGTAGGAGTTAAGGCCTAGTTCATGCGAAGTGAATCCCAATTGATTACTTGTGGAAACCAAACAATATGTCTAGGCTTAGAAGAGTACTTCCCCGTTATCATGGGTGGCAAAATATTATGTTCTCGGTGTTGATTGGTGTTCTTTATATGTTTTATGATAGCGGATGGACACCAACACCATATGTATCCCGGTGTTCACATCGTGCACGATTGGTAGCGTTCCACCTTGGATCATGTCTGGATATCCGAAGCACAGTCGAGCAATGCCAACAAAAATCCAGCTAAAGAAACACAGTCTATCAATATGTATCAATATTTGAATGTCATCTAAATATTCATAGTGATCAGTATTATAAATAGTCATCAACCTATATAAACACATTGAACTATTGATAAATCAATATCTATGACATAGTTTATCAACATAGTTATCAAACCTAAATAAACAAATGAAACACTTTGTTTGTAACGCGGAGCCGCTGTGCCAAGAGGCTTCAAGCCCAGCTTGACCAATTCCTCTTTGGCCTGGTGCACACACTCCTGCGTCGCGCCATGCGGATCGCACAATGCATATATATATATATATACTATGGACATACATTAACCAAATATTAAGATAGATAGAACATGATAGAACATTATGTATATATATATATATGTAAATATTATATGTTATGTTGTTGATGTAAAATGATTTTCCTTGGCACCGTAAATTCGTTTCCTAATGATAAGGTGGGTTGCAAGTGCTGGAACAAGAACATGGTCTACATGTCTGAATGATGTTACAGCACACCATGGTTGTCAACTGAACAGTAGTCCGTTCTGAGAGCACCACTTCAGAGTGACCCAACGCGACCCAACGTCACCCAAACAGAGTCTTTCCCAAATGGTCCGTTCGGTTGAAAAATCAATGACCCCAACATCTTACTGGTGCTTAGTAGGGAATGGATGGGTTGCTGGGGGTTGCTGGGATGATTATTACTAGTGATTATGGATCATTCCCGAAAATTCCCTGCGTTTAGCACCAGTAAGACATGATATCTTCTTACCACGAGCCGTTCAACCACTCATGGGGAAGTATTGGTGACCGTCCAATGCCAACCATCATTTTGTGGGGTTCGCTCTGCAGTATCAAGATTATAGTTGTCCTCACATCAGGAATCATTGAAGAGAATCTGTACTTCTGTCCATTATCGTGACAAACTCGATTTTACACATCTTGAGGTTTGCACCCCCAAACCGAACCATCATGACTGTCATGATGAGGTATGATCAGGTATTGTGATAACTTGTTGTAACTTGCAAAGAAAAGGGAACAACACAGCTGGTTAGATGAAACAAAAGATCTGATCCATTGGCAAATTGGCAAGGGCATCCTGGCATCTAGATTCTGTTCAAGACCAACTAGTTCGTTCTGTTGGTGATTATTCTATCATATGCTATCTATATCCTATATCCTATATTCTTGGTTGCGATTTTCCAATGATTGTTGCTGGTCAACACATATTTTTTGCTGATTAAACCAACCCCTCCCTTTAGTTGGTTACACTAATTATGTGTTACCCTCCAGTCACGCGCGGCGATGTTGAAAACAAAAACGCATTTAGTTCGATAATTAATTTTCCGAGCTAGAAATCTCCATTTATAGCTGGTTGTCCATTGCCAAGTTTTCCATTTCTATATGGAGGTTTCTATATAAAGGTTTCTTTATGGAAGTATCAATTAAAGTATGAATTTCACCAAAGGTTAAGTCCCCATCAATTGATACTTCACCCCATGCGTACCGAGACACGCTACGCTTGCTGGCATCGCAAGCACGGGCAGATGCGGCCACCACATTACGCTTGTACTTCAGGATCACGTCATCCTCGTCCTCCTAACATGTTCGCTCGCCGCGGAAGAAAACTGAGGGAAAAAACCTACAGTATTCACCGAGAAAACATGGAAGTTTGACCAGCAAAAACATGCAAAACATGGGATTTCACCATGCAGCATAAGGACTTTCACCAAAGAATCATGCATATTTATGGATTGATTTGATGGATCAATGGATTGATTTAAGGGAAATGTGTCAGGAAACCAGAAGTGTTTTCCTATGACTAATCATGACGGTGTCCGACGCAAAGGTTGAAGCAGCAATTCTGGGATGAAAGTCACAGGGCACACCCTGAGATTATCCCATAGGATCCATGTATGGTATATATGCTAACATTTGGGGTATATTGATGGTAAATGTTACCATATATATATATATAGCATACATGGATCCTATGGGTATGGGATTTTATTTCTTGAGGTCCTCTGCTTGCTTGCTCATTTCACCTGACATCATATGATACTGGTTGGTGGTTGAGCCTACCCCTCTGAAAAATATGAAAATCATTTGGGATTATTCTTCCCAATACATGGAAAAATAAAAAATGTTCCAAACCACCAACCAGGATATATAGCGCTTGTTGGTTGTTCCTTTTCATTGTAGCTGACATCCGTATTGTTTTGATTAGTTCCATGTGAATTATGTTTGTTTTGGTTCGGTACACTCTTTCGCATGAGTGTGTATCCATAGTCTATATTTATTATATCGCATGTTTCGGGGCAACATGAGTTTGGTCTTTCTTGTGTCTTCATTATCCTTTCAAGCCCCTGCACTCGGAGTAAATGATGACCTTACATGCTGGTAGGATCACATATTTAAAAATCAGTAATTCCAAATTTTATGTTATATCAAGCCGATTCTTTGTTTGCTACATCACTATTATCACTTGTCATTTGCCGGTTTCATGATATTGTATTCCCATTTGTTTTGCCTGTCTTCATCTTCCCGTGTCTTTGATTCATACAGTAAACACATATAAACACATCATCTGACTTGATATTACGGTCACATCACTCGTTTCAGATTCTCGGAACATGACAGGCCGAAATGAAAGATATTAAGGTCACATCACTATCATCACTGAAATTGTCAACACATTTCTTTGATTTCCTGCCTTGGTTCTTGGAAGATGCTGATGGGAACCCACTTTGCATCAAGTGTTTGGCCCAAATCATCCCCACAGCGATCCAGAGTCGTGACGAGACCAGAGGGCTTTTGGTCAGGGGATACCACCAACATGTTTTTTGTCAAAGACACCCTGGGTTTTGATGGTTTTGATGTGTCTGAAGTGGGAAAAGTAGAAAACAAACTGACGAACTATGAGATTTGGATGGGATCAAATATTGACAATGCATTCTATATAGATGCGGAATCATGATAAAACCATGGTATGTGGAGGGTTAACAAGTAATCATCTTCTTTGGAGATATTTGGATTGTAAAAAACAATGATAAACCATGAATTTTGGATTTTGAAACATGATAAACCATGAATTTTGGATGGTTCAATTAGGTTTTGCACAAAAAATGCTGGGCTCATCCGGGCTATGGCGGCTATGGATGGTCAGAATCACAGGACCGGAACGGAATTTCCATTCGACGAGCGTCCGTGAGACCGGCGATTTCGGAGCGTTCCTTGATCTCCTTTTTGCATTCCTGGTGTGCTGTGTGGGTAAGATACGTGAGTTTCATTGAGTTTCCACAGCACATTCTGACACATGTATACACATGTGCTTAAATGGTGGAAAGTCCAGAAAGTCCATGAACAAAGATATTAGAGTTTCCACCATGAAAAAAAGATACTTTCCACCAGTGCAAATGGACTTATCAGTGCATACTTACCAGTGTATCATGATACTTACCATGTTATAGTTCTTTTACGGCGAGACAATACGGAGGACCACCTGGGAGGCGCCTCGGCTAGACGAGCATCATCTCAAAATAACAATGAGAAACACTAACATCATTATCAATGAGAAGAAACATGACAAACAATTCCTGATTGCCATGTTGTGCAATATTTATTCTTTGTCTATTCTCTTTTCGACACAATGTTTTAGCGAACCTTTGGACAAATAAATGCTGGTTACCGGTTACCGTTGTTGTTCAGGGGGCTGGCATGGTCTGGGCAACATCTTATGCATCTGTGAAACTAATCCCCCCTCAGTCTGTGCAGTTCTTCTTTTTCCTTCTTATATATATAACTTGTCTGCTGTCATGAAAATTGGACAAACAAAGACTGTATCTGTGATACACCTGGAGCCCATAGGTTGTTAACTCAGAGTGGTAGACCTACTGCGACTGAAGAAACAGTTTCACAACATACAACATCAGAATCTACCACCTTCCAACTTACTGGTGCTAAACGTAGGAATGGATAAGAATGGGGGTTGCTGGGATGATTATTGATAGTTAGCCAGTGGATCATTCCCGAAGATTCCCTGCGTTTAGCACCAGTAAGAAAAGGGTAAAAATATCCACAAATATCATAGAATTCAATGTGAACTTTGCACAAACTTATCCCATAATCACATGTTTTTGCCAAAAAAAAACACATAACATCCATGTACCGACGGTACCCATCCATGGTACCACCATGGTCATCTGATTGGTTGCATCCCCTCGATTTGGCACCTCCTTTTCCGCATCGCTCTCAGCCTCCTCCATACCTCGATCTAGGGGAAGGGAGGGTAACATGTATAATGTATATACAACAATATACTAAAATATATTGGTAGGACCAGTGGCTGCTAAACATCCCTACAAAAAGCGGTGCTAGGAGGGTGGCCGGGGAGGGTGGCAGGGAGGGTGGCGGGGTTCACCAATTATTGGTGCAACTTTGGGTGCGCAAAAATTATCTTTCCTTAAGTTTTTTGATGTGTGACGCCCGCACCAATATTTTGTTTACGTTTTTCATGTGTTTTTTTCAGCCTCCGCATGGTTTGCCTGCCCGTCACTGTGTCTTGAACACTTTCCTTCAGAAATGCAAAATTTGCAACATGGATTTGAAGCAGGAGAATCCGAGCGTCAAGGATATGCTTTGGTCCCGGAGAAGCCGTTGATAATTCTTAATGCAGTCCCAACTTGGACAAAATTAAAGAAAACAACTTTACAGTGACGGGTTTTGATTATGCAATTAAAGATGCTGGCCACAAATCAAACATGTCTGCCCGATTGCTGGTGAAATTTTCTTCGCATCATTGAACCCCAAGTGCAGCAACTTCAGCGTACTCTCTCCTTCTTCAAATTATTCGTGCCAAAACCCGTTTCCGGGAAACGGAGACACACGAAATAGTTTGGGTTCTAGATACTTTTCTCGTCAGTGGAATTGCTTAAAGGGTACAATTAAACTACTATACAAATGCGGCTAAAAAAAAATGGAAATGCAGGCAAGCAACTATAAAGAAAATAAGCTTCGGTGGTATCCCCAACAGCCGCAACGTTTTATTTTTACAAATCTTTCTGAAGCGTGCTGCGAAACCAAGCGCTGGAAACACTTTGAACCTGTTGGAACCTGACCTGGCCCTGCACCAAAGATTCCCCAAACCTTCTCCGGGACCTTCTCTGCAACCTGCTCCGGGACCCGTTGAACCTGACCTGGCTCTGCACCAAAGCCTCCCGGAACCTTCTCCGGAACATTCTCCGGAACCTTGTTGAACCTAACCTGGCTCTGCACCAAAGCCTCCCACACCTTCTCCGGAACCCTGTTGAACCTGACCTGTCTCTGCACCAAATCCTAGACCTTCTCGGGAACCTTCGGAACCTTCTCCGGAACCTCGTTGAACTTGACCCGGTGCCTGCACCAGTGCACCGGAGCTATTCTGGGCTGAAGACCCCGTCAGCTTACGCTGTTGGGGACAAACTGCGGACCTTTGCGCTGATCCATGTTGGACAAAATCTGTGGAAGTTCAAGATACTCGGTCATGGAAAATCGATTGAGAATAAAGAAAATCGGTAAAAACCATCGAATAACCTAAAAAACCATATATACATGGAAAACTCCATAAAAAGTTCGAAATCAATGAAAACCATCGAAAAATCAATGAAAACCATAAATTCTTGCTGAAAACCAAGAGAAATCCATGAAAACGATCAAGAAATCGAGAAAAAACAAGGAAAAATCGAGTTTGACATAGAAAATTGGTCCGAGCCAGCTTGACTGCTTCCAAACATTGGAGATCCGCGCTGATCCGCGCTGATCCGCGTTGATCCGCGCTGATCCGCGCTGATCCGCGCTGATCCGTGCTGAACTGCGCTGATCTAGAGCAAGAGTACGCAAGAATTTAGCGCGGATCAGCGCGGCGCACCGCGGATCAGCGCGGATCAGCGCGGATCAGCGCGGATCAGCGTGGATCAGCGCGGATCAGCGCGGACCAGCGCGGGCCAGCACGGACCAGCGCGGATCAGCACGGATCAGCGTGGATCAGCGCGGACCAGCACGGATCAGCGCGGATCAGCACGGATCAGCGCGGATCAGCGCGGATCAGCGCGGATCAGCGCGGATCAGCGCGGATCAGCGCGGATCAGCGCGGATCAGCGCGGACCAGCGCGGACCAGCACGGATCAGCGCGGATCAGCGCGGACCAGCGCGGACTAGCGCGGACCAGCGCGGACCAGCGCGGATCAGCGCGGACCAGCGCGGATCAGCGCGGACCAGCGCGGACCAGCGCTGGCCAGTGCGGATCAGCGCGCAGATCAGCGTGGATCAGCGCGGACCAGCGCGGACCAGCGCAGACCAGCGTGGATCAGCGCGGATCAGCGCGGATCAGCGCGGATTAGCGCGGATCAGCGTGGATCAGCGCGACTCTGCGCGGTCCAGCGCGGCCCAGCGCGGATCAGCGCGGAGCGGATCAGCGATTAAGCGCGGATCAGTGCGGATCAGCGCCGATCAGCACGGATCAGCGCGGATCAACACCCATCAGCGGGCATTAGTTCGGAGATCTTCCATAGAAGCCCAGGGCAAGTGAGATGTGAACATGGAATAGCACCAAGCATGGTGAGGATTATTGTGCTATTTTTTCAAAAATTTGTCAAGGAACAAAGTTTTTCCTTGACGCCGATGGGTGCTACATCTCATGCGCCGTCGGCTTGATGTCTTGCTCCTCTTTTCTGCCACCTGTCCTGCCCCTTAAAATACCTCAAATCAATAGCCTTGGTGCCCTCCTAATACCCTCTTCAGCCACCTGTCAGGCACCAAAAATCAATAGTTTTCATCCCCCCTCATCCCTGTTCCGCCACCCTTCCTGCACCACAAATCAATAGCCTTAATGTTCTGCCACCCTGTTCCGCCACCCTTCCTGCACCACAAATCAATAGCCTTAATGTCCTGCCACCCTGTTCCGCCACCCTTCCTGCACCACAAATCAATAGCCTTAATGTCCTGCCACCCTGTTCCGCCACCCTTCCTGCACCACAAATCAATAGCCTTAATGTCCTGCCACCCTGTTCCGCCACCCTTCCTGCACCACAAATCAATAGCCTTAATGTCCTGCCACCCTGTTCCGCCACCCTTCCTGCACCACAAATCATAGGTTTTGGTATCGGTTTGCTCTTCCGGATGCTTAGCAGGCAGTGGGTCTCTCAAAAAATATACTATAATCATCTATAATCATAATTCATAATAGTAACATATTATGTGTGATTAATGGATATTATGGGGTACCATTCTGGACTGGCAAATTACCAGTCGTTCTTGACATCTGAAACCATCTATGCTGGGGGCAAATCATCCAATCACCCCACCGGATGCTGAACGCAGTTGGACGCCATGCGTCGATTGTTTCGCCATGCTCAAAAAGAGCTCAAATTCCAGGTGAAGATTCGTATAGATTCATATGCAGACATCTCTTTCCTGGCCAATATTGGCCAATTCCCCAATAATTTTCAGGGCATTTCCTGTTTTTTTACACATCACAGACACGGAGAAATACCACCTATATTGTTGCTTGACCCAGCAAGATTGATAGACAATGATAGGTTGTAGCAGGTCTATCCTTTCCTGAGATGGTCCCCAACATTTGACCCACATTCCACCTCAGTGGGATGAGATGAAACATTGGGCTCCCCTCTTCACCACTGGTTTTTCCCTCAAGATATCTCAAGATACATTCATAATATTTCATAATCATGATTTGGGGTTCCCCTCACTTGATGACACACCCACCCATTTTCGGTTCCTCAAACCCCACCAAAGTGTTGATGAATTGAATCATCAATATGCATCAATCACAGATCTTTTCTTGGAATTTCCACAATTTTCTATGTTTTGCCGGTGAAACCCGAAAATGGGCCGTACGCCCATTCTGCCGTACGCGTCCACGGCAGGGGACACGAGCGGAAGATCTCTCCCACGGCATCCACGGAAGCGTCGTCCTTGGCGCGCTTCTTCTTGGCCTCCTTGACCTGGCCGTGGGGTTTTCGGGTGAATCGTAACGAAGCATGATGGAAACATGTGGAAACCATGGCAAAAACCATGGAAGAATTAGGATGTGAAGCATGAACAATGATATACAATGATGTTTGTGGCCATAATGAGAGCATTGATGTTTTCAGCCATGGGATTCTGGGGATTTTTCCCATGTTCAAGACACCCAGACGTCAACCCGAGATCAGCTTAAGATGATCAATGGCAGTTGAAATAGACCCCCAAAAGTAAACACATGAAGGGGTTTATGAATCAGGCATCAGAGCCAAAAATAAAAAATATGAAGCAAATTATAGAGAAACTGCCATTCCGAACAGTACTAAGACAAAACGTAGATATCTATATTATATTAAAGATGGGTCAAAACATCTGAACACAATGGTTTTAGTGATGACAATGTTGATATACATTTTTGGGAGAGATGGAGGCAAACTGGACAAAACAAATTTTGATTTTTGGATTTTCCGACACGCAAATGACACGCATTTGACACGCGCCGTTTCTGGGGTAATCAGCGCTTTGGTGGCCAAGAACAAAGATGAGATGTATATCCCAAATGGCCCATAAGAGGGTTGAAGCTCACCCCGTAGTGATTTACCACCTTGAGGGGTGCCAAAACGACACCCTTTGGCATGTCCTGGTATAATCTGATAATCAATTCAACGCTGCAAAAATCACGAGCAAAATGGGGAAGAAACATGAAACAGCATAAACACCTGCCCAAACAAGAATGGTGCTTGGTCATCCAGATCCCATATTTGAAGGCTATGTATACATTGGCTGTCATTTTCCCATGGTCCATCATGTTCTGTTGGCAATCTTGCAATTTGATCCCACTTCTGCGGTGGTAAAGCACTGTCAAATCCACATTCGCCGTAGCCAAATCCCCATCGTCTGTATCCATTGTTGGTGCACAGCCCCTCATGTTGGTTCAATATGATTGTTCATCAACAAAAAATGCTATAATGTGGGTAAAACAACGCCATTTTTACCCCCCCATTTTCCTAGGAATGGTAAGTTTATACCACATCTAAAAATGGTGATTTTCCGGGGGGGGTGGTAAACATGCCATTGTTTTACCCACATTACTGGGAACCAGTTCCAGAACTCAACGATCACCTATGGGTCACCTAGACGGTCACCTACCCCTCTGTGGGCCTTCTCATCCAATCCGCTGAAGAGTTCGTCCTGCGTTTTCTCGGTTTTCTCGCTGTTTTTCAGAATAAAAACTGCACGGAGAATTTTCATAAACTTGGTTTCCTAGGTCTTTTGGGGGATATCACGTGATATAACATGATATAAGATGATATAACAGTTTTCATGATGGGCTTTGTAAACCAACACCCCCTGTCGTTCCATTCCAATTGTTCCAAATGTTAAGACGGGTTCCCACACTGGATGTTTTTTTAAAGTATATATAACCTCAGGACTAATCATCAATCCAAAGGGGTTTTGAACACCGCTCCACGGTCAAGGGCTCAAGGGGGGGTGGGCTTGGGAAGCGCTTCAAATTTCATGAAGGTATTTGTTTTTTGTTGTTCACAATTATCATTTACTAGTACTGTACTTCTAGTCTACTATCAGCAAAGATTTGTTTGACAAGAAACATCTCGCAAGAGTGCAGGGAGAGTTTCTCTGTTTTTTTTCCCATCAAACTAAGAGTTTCTCAAGAAATCTTTGGAAATCGCAATCCATTTGGTGCAACCAAGTGTTCCATTCTATGGTACTTCGCAAAAAAAAAAACGGACAACAATGAGCTGTGCCGCTTAAAACCTTCATGGTTAAACTGTATCAGATGGATGGTCGATCATTTCCAGGCCGTGATGGTTTCCCCATTGTTTCCCCCATATTTGCTGAAGTGGCTTGAAAATGGTGAACAACAAAATCCCAAGACAGGAATAGTTAGCTGGGCGGATGATCATTGTAGAGCTCGGAAATTAGTCATGTTTGCAACCATCAGACTCAGCGTGCCATAACAATTCATTGGAGCCCCATCTCCAATAGTCGCATGCTGAGAAGAAACCGCTGGCGCACCCAACTACCCTGTTTAATTACATTGCAAGGCTGCAGCATACACACTTCCCCGTCCTGCACATCGGAGGTTTCTTTCAAATTTTCCATGCCTCGAAACCCATGGGTACGGTGAAAAACCATCACGTTCGGACAGTTCTTTCATGTTCCAGCAGTACTGGTTGGACTGGGTTTCGTCTAAAATTTAAGGGACCCCCCCAATCACAAAGTCTCATAGTCTGTGACTCATAGCTTATCATGCATAAACATCAATAAACATGGGCCAAAAATGTGTTTTGTATACCCCACTCTTGAAACAGTCCCATCTATGCTTAGTGAAAACCAGATCAACTGGGCATGGTCGTGCCCAGTTGCAAGCGTTGTACTCCTCACGGCTCTCGGACTTGAGGCACAGAGCAATGTCATCTTTCCTCGGAGCCAGGCTGCGTTGGGGTAGATTTACAGCGATGTATTGCAGCTTGAAGAGGAAAATTGGGATCGTTGGATTTGGGGGTATCCTTTCTAACCCATGTGGAGATGAGGGTCAATAGGCCTGATTTTCTTGATTGCATTCACCGAACCCCCAAGCATCTTCATTGAACTGTGCCTGAACAATGTTCATGCAATTTGAGACCAAACTGTCGTGACCCCACTTCACTTGAGAAAATGATGGATTTTTCAAATTCGACAAAGTGAAGTGTGGGTCACGAATCGTGATCAACAGGTCACACATCCTCCTGTAGTATAGGTGCTCCTACTTTCATGCAGCGTTCCAAAGTGCGATACATCACCAATATTCACCAATAATCTGGGAGAATCCCGATTGACGCTGGTCTTCCACAGTTCTTGGCGATCTTTTTCAGGAGAACCAGGACATACCAGGACTGCAGGACTCCAATGATACCATCCCACAATGTAAAAACCATGGTTCCTTAAGAAAAAAACTCCGATGTAAAGATGAAACCTTAACTTTCAATGGAACAAACATTTTTCTACGGGCTTGGTTCATTTTACCTTGAAGGAACCACTGTGAAGACGCCTCGAGTGGAATTCCTGATAAAAACGATTAAAAACGCCTAGAATGCCCTGGAAGGTACCTTCATCATTGTCTCAGTTACAGCCAGTACTTTAGCTTAACATTTCGGTAAGCTGCCTTGATATATCCACACTGATATGATGTAGAGAATACAACTGGCTGTCTATGTGGAGCAGCTGTGCCCAGAAATTGTTGCTATGGGGGACCTTCCACATCCAGATTGCCTAAAGCAAGCCGCTTTAGTGGATTTAAGGGAAATTGATGTTTTTTTCAATCCCACCACCAAAAACCCAAGTGTGATAAAATCACCAATATCTATAATGATGGGTTGATATCACTAATTCACTATATATTGACTATATATTCACTCATTAACTGGGATCTATATGTATTCACTATTTACGGAAAATTCAAAGCACGTTTCCTGCGCCCCATCTTTGCTGCTTCGCAGTATCCTTGGATAAATCACCATCCTACTGGTTCCTCCATGTGGCCTGTGGCCCCCCAAAATAATATATGTTGGTTAAAAACTATAGTTATAACTCATGTTATAACATAGTAAATTCTATCTAACACAGTGATAATCATATAGTAATAGAATTGTTCCTAAATATCATGTGAATTGATAACTGCTCCATAATATAGTATTATTTAGTATTTTGTTTGTGTTTTCTAATTATATGTCAAGTATAACATATATAAATATAGATGTATATTACTAGTTGGTGGTCTCAACCCCTCTGAAAAATATGCAAGTCAGTTGGGATCATTATTCCCAACAGATGGAAAGTGATAAAATTCATGTTCCAAACCACCAATCAGATATATAAATGTATATGCTAAGTATCATAACCATTACCCTCTGGTAAACATACCAAAAAACTATGGAAAATAACAATGCTATTAATGGGCAAATCCCCGAACTAAATGGACATGTTCAATAGCTATGTAACAAATTACCGGAGGGTAAATCCCATTAGAAATATTCGAATCCCATCTATAGATCCCATGAAAAGTCCATGTTCTATCCCATTTTCCATCTATAGTAGATTTTCCATTCATCAATAGTAGATTTTCCACTTGTAATAAGTAGATTAGCCATCTATAAATATAAATCCCATTAACCATCTATAGATATCTATAGTAGATTTTCCATCATAACCATAGGTCATGCGATCCGCCAGGGCTCTCCAAGTCCTCGGCCAGCTCCTGCTTCACTCGGCGCTGCTCCGAGGCGTCCAAGTCCCCCTTGCCGCGGCCCGCGGCGTAGACCTCGGTACCCGACAGGTCTGCAAGGTCTTACCCTCCGGTAATTTGTTACAGTTTGCTATTGGAAATGGCCATAGAAATCGTGGATTTAGCCATAGAAATCGTGGATTTAGCCATCAAGGTTGACACAATGAGGTTCCAAACCATCGAACAAATGCTGGTTGGTGGTGCAATAAGCATCTTTTTGTGACATGGAAAATAAAAAATGATCCACACCACCAACCAGTAAGGAACTGCAAAAATCGGTTGAAGTTTATGATGAAATTGATGTATGTTTGTTAATGATATCTATGGTGATATGGTGAATTTATAACTCCAAGAACTGTTGAATTGATGATAGCTATGGTGATATGGTGACCGGTGATATGGTGACTTTAAAACTCCACGAGGTGTTAGATTAAATTGGTAGGTATGGATCTCGAACTAAGTGTGAACTAGCTTAGTTCAACCAACATTCTACGGGCAGCAGCTGGTGGGAGAGCAGAAAAGGGAAAAACACAACTATAAACAAACTAAACTAAACATTGGGATTTATACTGTTGTTAAAAAACAAATGTAGTAGATTCTGGATATCAAAAATCTAGGGGGTTCTGAAGTCAATGGCTTGGTTTGAGGGAATTGTTTACCAGTAATTTCAGGGTTTCCTGGAATTTCTCCTGCCATCCCAGGAATTTGATGGATTTGATGGGAATCTACTGGGATGGCAGGAGGTTCAGCAACAATTAATATCATACAATGTGGATACGTTCACATAGTATTGGAAACATATGGGGCAGTTCGGTTGGTTTCTCTATATGTCTTGCGAAATCCATTGCGGGGTGGGATTGTCCGATGGTCGCCACTCAGAAGTGTTTCAGGTCAGCGAACGAAACTGGTGTACTGGCTTCTAGTAAGTCCCCCAAGTGGCAAGTGTTTTTTCTTAAAAATATATATATATATATATGCATATAGTGTTTCTAATGGTGTTTCTAATGTTCATGCATAATAGAGAGATGGGTAAGATTGGATACGATAAAATGAGATAACCTTTCAAGATAAGTTATGATAAGATAGATAGATAGATAGATAGATAGATCGATAGATAGATAGATCGATAGATAGATCGATCGATAGATAGATAGATGGACAGATGGACAGATCGATAGATAGATCGATCGATAGATAGATAGACAGATAGACAGACAAACAGACAAACAGATAGATAGTACGATAGGGTAAGATAGGGTAAGATAGGATAAAATAGGATAAGATAGGATGAGATAGGATAAGATAGGATAAGATAGGATAAAATAAGTTAAGGTAATAAAATCTAAGATAAAATATAAGATAAGATATACGATCAAATAATATATAAGATAAAAAAAGAAACAATAAAATAGATATACAAATAGATAAACAAACGGGCTAAGTTTTGGTGACTCACCAGGCACTACGTGGGAAGGTCCTTCAAGTATATTTCCATCACATTTTGCATGTCCCACATGTTCAAACCAAAAACATCGAACAACTGTTCCATTCCCCAAATCTGGAAAAGCAACCTAGGCAACCTTTTTATCTTCATCTATCTATCAATATATATATATAAATTTTAAGTGTACTATCTACATATATAATTCTATATTTATATAGAGAGAGAGGCTTCCTGAAACGGGTGTACCCCCAAATCATCCAAGTCATTAAACCATTTTAGTAAAGAAACCATATAGAAACCTAATGTTGTGGGGATCCTCCATGGCTTAAGATACCACCATATAATTACCCACAGACGCCGTGTGTTGCCCAGACATTAACATTGAGAATGTCGTGTTGTCGAATATATGATAGGAAACATTGCAGAAAATACTGCGTATACGCAGTGTTTTCCAGCTGAGGATTCTCAAAGTTTTCAGAGCCTAGGTTTTAGGGTTTAGGGTTTTAGGGTTTGGGGTTTTAGGGTTTGGGGTTTTAGGGTTTGGGGTTTTAGGGTTTGGGTTTTAGGGTTTGGGGTTTTAGGGTTTAGGATGGTTTAGGGTTTTAGGGTTTAGGGTTCGTCGTCTGGGAAATCTCAAAGCACTGGCCCTGCGAAGATGCTTGAAAATGTAAAAGGATCATGTTGAAACATGTTCGCCCCAACCCGGACGTTGCTCCACGCTTACAATCGTCGTCATCGTCATCATCATCATCATCATCATCATCATCACCATCACCATCATCATCATCATCATCATCAAAATCAAAATCATCATCATCATCATCATCAAAATCATCATCATCATCATCATCATCATCATCATCATCATCATCATCATCATCATCATCATCATCATCATCATCATATTCACCATCATCACCATCACCAACACCATCACCATCATCACATCATCACCATCATCATCATCATCATCATCACCATCATCATCATCATCACCATCAACGTCATCATCATCATCATCATCATCATCATCATCATCATCATCATCATCATCATCATCACATTAAAATTTGCCACCTCCTCTGAACAATATGTTGGCGGGGGTAATAACATCAACTTTCTCTTCATGAAGGGTCCAGATTTGCCACCCCCTCTGAACAATATGTTGGCTGGGGTAATAACATCATTGTTTTATCTTCATGAGGGGTCAAAATTCACCACCCCCTCTGAGCAATATATTGTTTGGGGTAATAACATCAACTTTATCTTCATGAGGGATCAAAATTTGCCACCCCCTATGAACTTGGGGTAATAACATCAACTTTATCTTCATAGCCACCAGAAGTCAGACGCGGCGCAACGTCAGGGTTGCAGCGAACATGTTTAAACGCCATTTGAACCTTCCGGGCAACACACAGCGCCTGGCCGTATGATTACCATTTGCAACAAGCAAGATTGTGCAAAGGATTAAGGCGTGGGAAAACAGGGGTTACTACTTGCACAACGTGATAGGGGCGAAAGCCGGCTTTAAGGCTTGCCTTGGCAGCTCTTTCTTGACAAGCTGCAAGCCCTGTGTAGAATTGAAATCCCCAAAGGTTGGAGGAACCATGAATTTAAACCCCTGAACGCATTGGACTTGATGATGGGAGTCACCCCAAAAAAAGACGAAACGCGCTTCCTGCATGTGAACAAAAATGATGTGTCCTCCATGATTTCCAGTGCATCCGCATGATTTTCCAGTTGATCCTGAATCCTCATCAAACCACCACAATTCCACCACAAAATCCATCGGAATGCCATACAAATTCCATAAAACCCATAGTATCCATCAACCAAATCCCACCAATTCCAAAGAAATACCATAGAAATTCCATAACTCTCAGAACTTTCCCATCTAACACCACAAACATGTCCAACCAGAAACCCATCAAGTCCCGAAATCCCATGGAATTTCCAGAGAAATCCCATAGAAATCCCGTGAAACCCACAGAAATTCCATAGAAATCCCGTAGAAATTCCATAGAAATCCGCAAGAATTCACAAATTCCCATGGAAATTCCCATCGAATCCCCATCGAAATTCCCAAATCAGGCACTGCCAAGGCATCGCCGCAGGTTGCCTGAGCATTGTCCTGGCGAAAACTGAGCTTTGACCACGAAAACTTGGAAAAATCATCTGGATTTCATGGGATTTATGATGGATTTATGATGGATTTATGGGATGTGAATCATGAAAGTCGAAATCATGAATTTATGGATCCAATAAATTCACGGATCCAATAAATTAATCATCAATTTATCAATTTTTCATTGAAGTTT